ATAGTAAGTCTGAATATCTGGTAAGTCCTCCAGCTTTGTTTTTTTTTCTTCAAGATTCTTCAGTTTCCACATAAATATTATAACCAGCTTGTCCACTTCTATAGAAAAACCTGTTGGGGTTTTGACTGGGATCGATTTGAATCCATAAGTCAATTTTACGTCTTTATAAAATTGAATTGTCCAACTCATTCTTGAACAGGGCATATTCCTCCATTTACTTGGGTCTACCTTAATTTTTCTAAATAATGTTTTTTTATACGTATTTTATTAGAGTTATTGCTGCATGTTTGGTTTTAAAAATGCTCTTGTAAATTATTTTCTAGTTGCTGGTAGAGAAATATGTTGAATTTTTGTAAACTTACTTATTAATTCCAGTTTGTCTTTCATTCTTTTAGATTTTCTACCTACACAATCAAGTGTTCTTCAAATAATGACAGTTTGGTTTCTTTCTTTCCAATCCTTTAGTCTTTTATTTCTTTCTCTTATTTCACTGGCTAGGACCACTGGTACAATGGTTAATAGAAATGGTAATAGTAAGCATTGTTTCACTTTCAGCGTCAGTAAGTTATCAGTGTTTCACCATGCAGTGTGAAGTTTGCTGTAGGTTGCTTCTTCTTTTATTGGCCATAATATTTATCCCATTAAGAAAGTTCCCTTCTATTTCTACTTTGCTGAGAGGTTTATTTCTAACCTTAATTGGTTGTTGACTTTTACCAGATGCTTTTTCTGTGACTATTAAGTTAATCATATAATTTTCTCCTTAATTTCCATTAATCAGATAAATTATGTTGTTGGTTTATCAAATGCTAAACCAACCTTGAATTCTTGTAATAAACCCAATTTGATTGTGATGTGTTATCCTTTTAAATATATTGCTACATTATATTTGCGAATATATTGTTAAGGAGTTTTACAGCAATGCCCATGAGAGAGATTCATTTATGAGTTTTCCTTCTTGTAATGTTATTTTTTGGTATTTAGTTTATTCTGGTCTCATAAAATGAGTTGGGAAATTTTTACTCTTTTTCTATGCTTTGAAAGAGTTTGTTATGATTGGTATTATTCCTCTCTTAAATGTTGGAAGAATTCACCAGTAAAGCTGTCTGGGCCTGGAGTTTTCCACCTAGGAAAGTTTTAAATTATAGATTCAATTTTATTTTGAAAGACAGTGAATTCTTCTGACTTCTAGTTCTACTTTGTCAGTTTGGGTAATTTGTGTTTTCTAAGGCATTTGTCTATTTTGTTTAATTGTCAATTTATACTAAATTGTATAAAGTTGTTTGTAATTTTTAAAATTAACTTTTAAATGACTGTAGGATCTATTGTAATATTCATCTTTTCGTTCCTGATGTTGGTAATTGGTGTTTTATTGATTTTTCTTCATCTGTCTTGCTAAGGACTTGTATATTATTTTCAAGAATGAATTTTTGGCTCTGTTGATTTTTCTCTATTGTAAGTTTGTTTACCATTTCATTGTTTTCTGCTCTTATCTTTATTATTTCCTTTCTTCAACTTCTTTTTGGATTTGATTTGTAGTTCTTTTCTAGCTTCTTGAGTTTGAAGTTTAGTTGATTAATTTTTAGGCTTTTAAAAATATTCTAATATATGCATTTAAGGCTATAAAGTTTCCCCTAAGCACTGATAATATTTTGTTTTCATCATTATTTATTTTATTTTATACTAATTTCCATTTTGATTTTTCCTTGTCCCATAAATTATTTAGAAGTCTTTGCTAATTTCAAAGGAGTTGAGTACTTCCCCATTATATTTATTTCAAAGCTGCTTTCTAACCAGTTTCACGGTGTAGAGAGTATACTCTAAATGATTTCCATCCTTTGGATTTTTGGGGGCTTACATTTATGATGCAGGATACGGTCACTTTTGACAAATGTCTCATGAAGCTACACTTTTTCTTTTGCTTAATATTTGCAAGGTATATTCCTAGTGTGTTTGTGATCTTGTATTAAGGTGTATTTCTTCCTCCCCCCAGCTTTATTGAGATATAATTGACATAACATTGTGTAGGTTTAAGGTGAAGAGCATGTTGATTTGAAATATGTATGTATTGCAGAATGAACAAGATGTGTTTCTTGTGAATAATGTGTAGAGTTTTAAGAAAAACCCTCAGTTTGAGAATATGCCTTTTAAAAATATTTAGTCCTTTTGCCTTTAAAGTAATTACCTACATATTTAAGTTCATACCATCTTTCCACTTATTTTCTATTGAACTGCCTGCTTTATGTTTCATTTTCCCTTTGTCAAAAGTGCATTATCTTGGATTAATGAACATTTTTATTAGTCCATTTTCTCCTATTTTAGGTTGTTGGCTATATATTATTTATTCTTTTACTGATTTTCCTAGATATTGCAACATAAATCTTTGACTTATCACAGTCTAATGCAAATGATTAGTTTTATCACTTTTCCAATTATGCTAAATATTTAGGATACTAACTCTAGTTACCCCTCCATTTCTTGTGCTACTGTTGCCATCATCTTTAGTCTTTCATTTGTTTTAAATTCCACAAGACTTTATTATTGGTTTACATTCATTAGTAATTTATATTTACCCTTTCCTTGGGGGTCTCTTCATTCCTTTTTGCGCTTTTGTATTTCTGTCACTTACTTTCTGCCAGAAGAACTCCTTTTAAATAATCTCACTTTTGTTTGTTAGAAAAAGTTTTTACTTCACATTAAAATTTTATTTCAAAAACTTTTTTTGGAAATAAATTTAAAACCCTCAGAAAAGCTCAAAGAATACTACAAAGAAGTCCTATATGCCCCATGCCTAATTTTAAAACATTGTTTAACAAAAACAAAAAAACCCATTGTTTTTATTATAATTTCAGAACTATTTGAGAATAATGTGCAAGTATTATGTTCCTTTTTCCTTTAATACTGCAGTGAGTAGTTCCTAAGATGTAAGAGAATAAGAATATTCTCTTACACAGTAGTTATCAAATTCTGGAAATACAGCAGTGATGCATTTATCTAAACTAATCTAATTCATATTCCATTTTATCAACTGTCAAATTACTGTTATAGCATCCCTGTTTCCAGGATTACATCCTGCATTAGTTGTTGTATCTTTTTCAGTCTCCTTGTGCTTTTATATATTCTCAGCCTTTGTCTTCGTGATATAGACTTTTTTTTTGAATATTAAAAGTTAGTTATTACATAGAATATTCTTCAGTTTAGGTTTATTTGATGTTTCGTCATGATTAGATTCAGGTTTTTGCTTTTTTTGGCTGAAATAATATATAGGTGAAATATTATTAGGATTTTACATATGGAGACACATTGTGTCTATCTGTTCCTTATTGGTGATGTTAATTGTAATCACTCAGTTAAAATGCTGTTTAGTTTCTCCAGTGATAGCTACTACCTTTTAGTGTTGTAATTAATAATTACTTTATGGATAGATAGCTTATAACTATGTGACATTCTGTTCCCTATCAAACTGACTTCGCATAGATTTAGCATCTGTATCATTCAGGATCCCGGCAGGAGACAAGAGCACACCAGTCATGTGAGCAGGGAAAATGTAATACAAAGAATTATTAACTAGCAAAAGGTGGATAACTACTAAAAAGGGATACAAGAGAACTCTAAGATATCCAAAAGTAGTAAGTCGGGGGGAAAAAGTAGCTACTGCCTCATGGCTGAAGAAGAGCACACACTGAAGGGACTTAGGGTTTAGGAGATACTTCCCTCCCTCCTCCTGCTCCTGACATGCCCCTTCCCCACCCCCTTGCCCCAAAAGACTGAGCTAAGACTTTTTAAAGAGGGTATGACTACCACAGGAATACACAGTCTGCTACCACGGGGCAAGGCCAGAGCTCCATGGAAGTGGTCACTGGATGGGGAGGCTGTGTATAGCCTGAGTGTGTGACTGTGGTTGGTCCACTGAGGTCCGTTGAGATGAGTGCTACTGGCCCTTCCATAACCAGCCCACTGGCTCTCAAGCTGAGTAACTGAGGACAGAGGATGAAGCCCCCACAAAAGTGCCTTCCTGCTGCTATCATTACAGTGCCCCTCTATCACTCTCTATTGATAATGTCTCACATTGCCAGCTGCCACAAGAGAAATGTTTACAGGGTAAGGAGAGGTTTGTAGCACACCCAGAGAAATGATCCTTCAGACAGAGGGGAAGGCCACCTCTACAAGTTTGGGGGCTAGATCTGATATAGTGTAAATTGACTGTTGCTAGACATGCGAGTGACCATTTTGTTCAATGAGGGGTGGGGAGTAAGACTGGGGAGATTGCATAAGAGCATTTTATTGTTATTTAGTGTTTTAAGGCATTGTGTAAGATGCTTCATACATATTGCCCCTACTCCTCATTGAAACCCTGAGAGATGAGTGTTACTAGCCACATTTTATAGATGAGGAGACTGAGGTTCAGAGAGGTTAAGTAACTGGTTCAAGTCAGCCCAGAATTAAAATCCTAGCCTGTCTGCCTCCAGTTCTTACTAGACTACCATACCTTAGATGACATTTAAACGAATGTGATTATCCTATAGGCCCACCATGTGGATGCTTCCAGGGCAGAACCAAAGCTGGGTTTCTGAATTTATCCTGCTTGGCTTCTCCAGTGACCCCACATCCAACAGGCTCCTCTTCATTGCCTTCCTTCTCCTCTACCTGAGCTCAGTCCTTGGCAACGGGCTCATTGTCATCCTGATATGCCTGGACATGCACCTCCACACTCCCATGTACTTCTTCCTGTGTATCCTCTCCTTGCTGGATATGGGCAACGTGTCCACCACCGTGCCCCAGATGCTGGTGCATCTTCTCACTCAACCTCAGACCATCTCCTTTGCTGGCTGTTGGCTGCAAATGTATATGTTTGGTGCCCTGGGCCTGACTGAATGCATTTTCTTTGTAGTCATGGCTTATGACCGATATGTGGCCATCTGCTACCCTCTACGTTATACTGTCATCCTCAGCTGGGACCTGTGCACATGGCTGGCAGCTGGGACCTGGGCCTGTGGTTTCTTCTTCTCTCTGATCCATACGTTTTTCACCATGAGCCTGCCATACTGTGGGCCCAACTTGGTCAACCACTACTTCTGTGAAGGTCCCTCAGTACGAAGCTTGGCTTGCATGGATACTCACCTCATTGAGATGGTGGACCTGGTCATCAGTGTCTTCATGGTTGCTGCCCCACTCTCACTCATTCTGGCCTCCTACATACGTATTGCCCAGGCCATTCTCAAGATCAAGTCCATGCAGGCCCGCTACAAGGCTCTCTCCACCTGTGCTTCGCACCTGACTGTGGTCACATTCTTCTATGCTCCAGGCACCTACATCTATATGAGGCCCAATTCCAACTATTCCCCTGAGCAAGACAAGCAGATATCACTCTTTTATAATGTCTTCACTGCCCTGCTCAATCCTGTGGCTTATAGTCTGAGGAACAAGGACATTAAGGAGGCTTTTCTCAAAGTGATGGGGAGAGGTAGAGTGGCCTGGTGAGCCTAGGGACCTGGGAGGGACCTGGGGTAGAATGTCCAATGCTGAGGAAAGGAACAGTGTCTATGATGTATAAAGCCAACATTATACATTTAAACCAATATAGTACTTGGTGAGTGGAACAAATGTGGTACATGAAACCAACATGGCTGTCTTGATCAATTTGCTAGATTGTGGTGCAGTGAGAAACAATTTCATAATCTCAATGGCTTACAACAGCAGAAGTTCATTTGTTACTCATGTTGCATGTCAATTGTAGGTAGACTGTGGCCTTCTGCCATTGGATTCTTGGATCCAACCTGAAGGAGTAGACCCTCTCTGGAATATGCCAGTCTTATGACAGACAGAAAGGAACAATGCCTCTGAAAGCCTCTGCTCGGAAGTGAAACACATTTCTTTGCTTACACCCTTTTGGCCAAAGCAAGCCACATGATCAAGCCTGATGGCAAAGGGCAGAAAGTATTTTCTTCCCACAGAAAAGTAATGAAAGTTACGTGGGATGGGTATGGATGTATATTCCCTCTACAGTGGGAGCAGCAAATAAGGGGGGGTGATAATATAATCTACTGCAGTGGCACTGAAACCAGTAGAAAACATGTAACCAAAATGAATGTGGTAACTGCAAGTCACATGGTACATGGACACAGTAGAGGGTCACTGTGATGTAGGCAAAGTGGTACACGTAAAAAATGTCTGTAGCCAAAATTGAAAATTAAGCCAATGGTATGTGGAACTAGTGTAACCCACAGACCTGATTTGGTGCATGGAACCAATGTGGTTCATGGGGCCGACATGGTGTACTCTGCATTGTCTTGTGGAAGGACAGAAAACCTGACATTAAGTGACCTGGGTTCTAGTCCCAACCTTGCTAACTTGTCTTGTGACTTTGGACAATTTACTTCCTTTCTCTGGATCTTATTTTACTCATCTATAGAATGATCACCTTAAACTGAATGGTCTCCAGGACCTCATGTCTCTAAAATTCTATGTCACAGTAGGTGGAATGCGTGAAACTCAAATGCAATAAACTTGTGAATCTTCTGTGAACCCTAGGAGAACTAAGGAATCCATAGAATAAGAGTTGTTGCATGTTCCCAAATGGGCAGCACACTTAGCAGTGCCTCTTATTCTTTCAAGGGACCTAAATGACACATGAGGCTCTCTAAGATGGCACCTAGCCTCAGATTTAGCATGGGCATCCAGCTTTCTTTTAGGCCTCATTGATGGCCCAGAGCTCTTAGGGATGAATCAGTTCAACTTCAGTATTTCTTGAGCATCCATTAAGACCCAGCCAGTATCAGTCCCCGTGGAGCCCAAGACAGATCTGTGGAGAGATCTGCAGTCATGAAATCATAATGCCACATCCCAAGAAGATGCCACAGTGACCTCATGTGGAGTGATGTGGGTATCAGACACAGAGGATCAGGCTCCACCTCACCTCACTCCCATCCAGCTCTGCGTACCTCAGCACTTTGTAAGCTCTCTAGAGCTTGGAATCCAGGAGTAGGGGAGGGAAACTCCAAGAAGATTGATATTATTCTTCCACCAGTGGAATGATAGGTTGAAATAGAAATTAAGGTTAGTTACTGAAAAATGAAGTTTCAGAACTCTCAGGAAATAAGCAGAGTTCTGTGATATAGAAAAATGGAGGAGGTAAACCTGCTTATCAAGAGCTAACAGGTAGGGCCTTGGGGAGGAATTAAGATTTAGCTGATAACTGAGGATAAGAAAGAGTCACTTGTGCAAAGAACCAGGAGAAGGGAATTTCTGGCAAGAGGACACCAGGTACAAAGGCCCCAAGTCAGGAAAGGACTTTGCATTGTCTGCAGAGCTGGAAGAAGGTTCAGGTGGTCACAATAAAGTGAGCAAGAGAGGTAGAGATAACACCGAGAAGTAGGCATAGGACAATCCTGAAGAGCCACATAAGAAGTGTTTGCTTTATGCTGGGTACAGTGGGAATGCTTGGATTCTTACCGGGGATCTGGTCCAGTCTTACTGGTGATAAGCTCTGCTGTGGGTGTGACTTGAGATGCCTGGAAAGGAGGTGGGAGAAAAAGTCACTGGGGATGGGAATGTTAGGGAACTCACAGGCCAAGAGTGAGAATAAAGAAATTCCCTTTTAGAGAGCTGCAGGAGATGTGGTGTCCCAGGGAGAATTCCAGGTTGAGGGTGTTGAGAAGGGTGGTTGCTGATCATGGGACTGAAGTTGAGATGACAAAGAGAGGGAGAACTGGGGAAAGGGAGAAGTAGGGATTTGGGCAGTTAGGATGAGCAGGATTCATGAGAAATAGGAGTCTGGGAATAATGGATGACTAGAGAGTTCTGGACTTCTGGTGGGATCAAGATTTTGTCTCTAGCACTTAGGTGCAAATTTGGGTGGTGATACAATTCTAAAGGATTTGCTCAGAGACGTAACAGGGCTGGGCTAGGTGGCAGATTTGAGTGGGTGAGTACAGTTGCTCAACGATTCCAGTAGCTGATACAACAGAGTTCCAGGTGGCAGTTCCGAAAGGCTTCAGGCAGAAAGTGAAGGGTCCCCTGGGATGTTGGGGTGTTCCCTCCCCCATCTCAGGAGAGAGAAGGAAGCTATGTAGCTGGTGGAGGGAACTTGCCAACTGTTGAGAGCTTCCTGCTTCTGGCTTTGCAGGGAAGGGGGCTGCCTGGATAATGGGGACAAGCTCTTCCTGGCTGTTGGAGTTCCCTCCAGAAGGTGGGGGGTCTGCTTGCTCACTCTTCTACAACTATAGGTCAGGGACCAGAACAGGGGAGAGGAGAGTCTTGTGGCTAATGTGTGATGAGGTTTTATTTGCCTCTCTCCTAGAACAGACTGTAACAGATTTTGTAGTTCAGGATAGTAGATTTTATCTTAAAGGTGATGAGCTACCTATAATTTTAAGAACCAAGGATAAGGAATGGGGTGGAGGAGAGAGTGACACAGTATCTTCAGAAGAATGGGTTGGGAGAACTGAAGAGGGGGTTGGATTGAAGCAGAACACTTAGTGGGAAGACCTAGGCATAATTTATGAAGGGGCTAGACTTGGATGGTGGCAGTGAGTGGGGAGGTGCTGAAAGATGGGATGAAGAAAGAAGCAAGAGTATGTGATGGCTTGGTTATGTTGGTGGGAAAAGGGGAAATCAGGGAAACTATGGATGTTTTAAGCCAGCCTGACCACTGACTCTGCTTCCCTGCAGTTCACTGATGGGGAGCGCTGATTGTCAGCTGCCATTTACTGATCTCTGGCACTGCTGAAAGGAAGTCACAGGCCCTGTCCTCATGGAATTTGCAGTCCACAAACCAGCATGGTTCTTAGGAAGCAGATAAATACTCAGGGGTGGGGTTTAAAATGTTGTTAAATTAATTCTCTGTTAATTTGGGTCTCTATGAGGGTTTTTGTTTGTTTGTTTTAAACAAAATGGGGATAGAGTGGGTCATAGCTGTCTACCTGATGGCATACAGGTCAGCCATTTGGGGAGGTAGTTTGGTGCTAAACTGACGTGTCTGTCTCTCCAAATTCTTTGCCCTTTTGTCCATTTCTCCAATGATGACCTCAAAGTTTCCTCATGGGCAGAGTAATAAGCTACCACTTAATGCTTCTTTGTTCTTGTGCAAGAAACTTGTTTCCCAAATCTGCTTTCTCTTTTAAGAGTGAATGTTATTGTAAACCACTGAAACATGAGAAAGATTTAAAAATCACAAGAGATTTTTGCTGAGCCCTATGCAAATTGGAAACTTAGATGAAATGGATAATTTCTTAGGGAAATGTGGATTACCGAAATTAAACTTTTTTTTCGATCTTTTCCTCTCCTAGGCTTTAGTTTCCTCATTTAAAAAAAATTGGAGTATAGTTGGTTTACAATGTTGTGGTTTTAATTTTTATTATTTTTTAAAAATGTTCTTTTTTGAGGGGGAGGTAATTATATATAATTATAAAATTTAAATAATTATATATAATAATTATAATTAATACATAAAATTATATATTATATAATTTAAAAACTTTTTTATTGATTTGTAATCATTTTGGAATGCTGTGTCAAATTCCAGTGTAGAGCACAATTTTTCAGTTATACATGAACATATATACATTCACTGTCACATTTTTCTTCTCTGTGAGCTACCATAATAAGATCTTGTATATATTTCCCTGTGCTATACAGTATAATCTTGTTTAGCTGTTCTACATTTTGAAATCCCAGTCTATCCCTTCGCACCCCCTACTCCTTGGCAACCACAAGTTTGTATTCTATGTCTATGAGTCTGTTTCTGTTTTGTATTTATGTTTTGTTTGTTTGTTTTTAGATTCCACATATGAGCGATCTCATATGGTATTTTTCTTTATCTTTCTGGCTTACTTCACTTAGAATGACATTCTCCAGGAGCATCCATGTTGCTGCAAATGGCGTTATGTTGTTGGTTTTTATGGCTGAGTAGTATTCCATTGTATAAATATACCACATCTTCTTAACCAGTCATCTGTTGATGGACATTCAGGCTGTTTCCATGTCTTGGCTACTGTAAATAATGCTGCTATGAACATTGGGGTGCAGGTGTCATTTTGAAGTAGAAACCCAGGACTTTATGCATGCTAAGCACACACTCTACCACTGAGCTATACCCTACCCCCTACAATGTTGTTGTTGTTGGGTTTTGTTGGTTTTTTTTTTTTTTGTAAGTTTTTTGAAGTTTTACACCCTGTTAGGTTTTTTTTTAATTAGACTTTCTTCTTTTAGAGCAGTTTCAGGTTCACAACAGAACTGAGCAGAAAATACAGAGTTCCCACATAGCCCTCCCCACCCACACATATATACTCCTCTACCCTCAACATCCCTAATCAGTGTGGCATATTTGGTACAATCAATTAACCAACATGGGCACATTATTATCAGCCAAACTCCATAGTTTATATTATGGTTCACTCTTGATGTTGTACATTCTATGAGTTTTGACAAATGCATAATGCCATGTAGCCACCACTATAGTATCATAGAGAATAATTTCATTGCCCTAAAAATCCCTTGTGCTCTATCTATTCATTCCTATTAATTTCTGGTGTACAGCATAGTGATTCAGTTTTACATATATATATATATATTCCTATTCATAT